AAAATCACCTTGAAGAATCAACTACAGATGATTTACTGTAGGTTTTTGGGAAAAAATTTACTTTATTTTCTCATATGTTTGATATTGTTACATATGAGGTATATATACAGAATTCCTATACACAAATAAAGAAATTACCTTCATAATAGAGATTCTAATTAATTACATCATTATGGAGAAGATACCGGATAGAGGAAAAAATATATTAACTAATTAAGCAGCAAAAATATTCTAGTCAAGATTTACCTAATTTGCATATTGGCAAGAGAGATGTCCCCTTTTTCCTTAACTCATCAGCTTCAGCTTTTGTCAGTCCTTCTGGAGCTTCTTGGATTAGTTTTGGGTAAACTGGAGTAGCAGGTTTCCAGATCATCACTGGGTACTGTGGACGAGTGCGATAATTGTAGTTCCTACCACGAAAAAGATAAACTACTCCACCAACTCGATGAATGATTTTCCCCCCAGTTTTTTCCTGGAATATGAATAAAACTTTAGGAAAACAAGGTTACAAGTCTTGGTCTAGATTCTTATAGCCAAGTTTTAAGTGCTTAAGGGTATATATTTAGTTTGACCATTTTTTTCTTTTTGATTTTAGCAATCAGAATATGCTGTGGCCTCTTTTCATGTCCTAAGATTAAGTCTTCTTGCAGTCTGACTAAATGTAGCCATCCAAGCCAAGATTAAGCAATTCAAAAATTTTTTTTACAGTATAATCACAGGAAAATCGAATCGCGGATGGGCTGACGCTTGGTTACTAGCAAGCTACCCATGGGAGTTAGTTTGGCTATCTTTTGGCAAGGAGAAAATGACAAGCTTTGTTATTCATGGGAACAACTTAAGTACTTATTATCCCTTCTATACATCTCTAGAAATAATCATCCAGCACAAAGATGGTCAAAAAGGTTTTAGTGCCAGTTGGCCTAGGCTTGTGCTTTTACTACGACAGTAAAATTCTTAAGGAAAAATGACTTTAAAATAACTGTTTAACGAAAGATGGCCAAAAAGGTTTAGTGCCGCATAGTTAGTTTTATTGTTCTTTTGTGAGAGTAAATGCTGAAGCAAAAACAACCTTTAAAAATTGCAACTTTTTGACAAAAAAGTAGTTTAACATTTGGTAAAAATTATCTAATAAGATATTGTGGATATAGATTTACAACGGAAGTTTAAATTTTATTTGCAAAGGAAGAAAAATTATGAAATATGGTTGGCTCTTTTATTTTATCGAAGTACATATCCATTGAAAATTCTAATACTAGCAATTACATCCCTTTTGGATGTTTGATTGATCAAAAGTACCCAAAACCAAACATGAACTAATTGGATAGGCTTGTTAAAGTCTTCATTTTTCTTTTGGCGGTTTGCATACAAACTTTAAATGAAAAAATTGGTTACACTGGGACTACAATGAAATAGCCCTTGCACATACTTATACAGAATGTGGTTTCTTTCCATACAGAGCATAATGGCAGAAAAGAATACCAGAAGGTGCAAATTGAAATTTAAATGCAACTTAAAGTTAAGTTCAGGATAGAGGAACAGTACACGCACTGGGTATTGCATTATAATAATGTCATCACCACTAGTCTAATAATTCTTCCACAAGAACAGCAGACGCAGTGCTTAAGAATCAGTTTTCCATTTTTTTCCCCAAAAAACTCAGACTTCCGAGACGATAATCTCAAATTCGGAGCCCTGCTACTTATGCTGTCCACCTCTCCAGAATTAAAATAAAGAACTTTCAATCAATGAGATATGCCGCTAAAATTCGATAATACCTCAAGGTGTCGACAAACGTTATCCATATCCACAGTTGGCACTCCTTTGCAACGAACCTTACAAACGCGCCGCCGTTTCCAGTGCGTATGTACCAACTCCAGCATGTTATGCGTCAATCCGTCCCTTCCTACGCTCTCCAATCCATTAACCAACAAAATTCACCTTCATTGAGAACAAGCAAGTGATCTATACACACATTCTTAAACAACTTACCCAGATTAACCTGGCGATTATCATGCAAGTGAGCCTTAATAAGCATTTTGATCTCCGATTTGGTCAAGGGTTCGCCCAGAATCTCTCCCCTCGTCTTCCCTTCCTTGGGATACTTGCCGAAGGGGAAGGGGCCCGGCATTTCCACGTACTTCACACCCCTCTTCCCGGGCAGAGGCGGGTTGAAAGAATCGAATAACGGAATATTCTTCTTTGATTTCTTCAATGGCGCTTTCCCCGTCCAAGGACGCGGCATCGTCGGCGGCGCGAACGGCAGGAAAGCCGGCTCGCGGATTGCCAGCGGCTTGGCCTTCGGGGTCTCCGTGTAGCTATATTGGAACTCGAAAGGAGCTCCAGGAAGAAGATATGATATGCCGGAATCCCCGAGGACAACGGCTCGGTCTCCGTCGGAAGATATAACGCCATCTTGAACGGGCTTGTAGTAGTGCGATTGACGGTGGGGGAGCTTAAGGGCAGGGTTAGACGGGGGTTTTGAGGATTTAGAAGAGTTGTTTGGAGGGATTCGGGACTTGCGAGGGGATGGATACTTGGGAATTGGTATTGGTGGTGCGGGAGAGAACAAAGTGGAAGTTGTGGTGGTGGGATCGTTTTGGGGCGGGGTCGATGGGAGAGAAGGGAAGAGGTTGATGCCATGTAGAGATGCCAAAATAGCCATTGAAACGAGGTCACCTGATTTCTTGAAGTGGAATAAAATTCTCAGAGTACTCAGAAGTGCAGATAATGTGTTTCAGTTCCTGGAGATTCTGGTACGTGAGATTCTGGTAGTCCTTGTCGAGGGAGCAAAGAAAACTACGCAGACAAACATGATATTTTGGGTCCTTTAAAACGACGCCGTTGTTCTATTTAATAAACGGTGTCGTTTATTGTCAACCACAAAATGTAATAAGGAAACCACGTTTATGAATACAACGCTATTTACACTTTTAACCTTTTCTCATCCAACGGCTATAATTCCACAGAGGTGCATCAGCATCAAGTAATATGTATCCGCAGCAGACCAAATAAGATCCCAAAACCCTAATGACCAAAGCGCCACATATATAATCGTCTCTATCTTTTTAACATCTCACGACTCTCTCACAATATCCCTTGGTGAGCTGAAATCCCATCTGCTGCAAAATGCAGATATTCGTGAAAACCCTAACCGGGAAGACCATAACCCTAGAGGTTGAGTCATCGGATACGATCGACAATGTGAAGACGAAGATCCAGGATAAGGAGGGAATCCCACCAGACCAGCAGCGGCTGATTTTCGCAGGGAAACAACTCGAGGACGGCCGCACGCTCGCGGACTATAACATCCAGAAGGAATCCACACTGCACCTGGTTCTTCGGCTCAGGGGAGGTGCCAAGAAGCGCAAGAAGAAGACCTACACCAAGCCCAAGAAGATCAAGCATAAGAAGAAGAAGGTCAAGCTTCCCGTCCTTCAGTTCTACAAGGTGGACGACAGCGGCAAGGTCCAGAGGCTCAGAAAGGAGTGCCCGAACGCTGAGTGCGGCGCCGGTACTTTTATGGCCAACCACTTTGACCGCCACTATTGCGGAAAGTGCGGCATGACCTATGTTTACCAGAAGGCTGGTGGCGATTAGGTCATTTTCTTTTTGTTTTTATCTGTTTTCTGCTAGTCGTTGTTTTCGTTAAGGTTCTGATACTGATAATCTGTTACCGATTTAAGAAAAGTGTTTTTGGTTGAGCCTGCTGAATTTTTATGGATTGGATGATTAATTAGAGGATGGATATTGGGAGATAATAGTAGTTATATCAGTATAATTTCTAATGGTCATCCAATGGTTGATTGTTTTGGTTGATTCTTTTGGTAAGCTTATACCAATATCATATTGGCAATACCTATCATTCCGCACTCTGTTATTCTAATTAAGAAGAGGGATGGAAAATATTGATTGGCAGTTTCAGTTGATGCAATAGTTATTATGATTCATTGGATATTGTTTTCAATACAAACCTTACAAGATTTTGAGGATCAAGTGGGGAAATTGCTGGTCCATTGTGTTCTTTATGTGGAATGAAGGTGATCAGTATGAACTTTCTTTTGGTTTGTACAGCTTTCTTGGTGTTTAGATGTTAAAGTTAGAAACATACCATGCCTTGACCAATACTTTTGTTGCCCCCTGTATCATTTTTTAGGAAGTTCAAAGCAGGTGAAGTTTTGATTCTATCGTGAGAGTTTCAGAAGCGTCTCAATTTTTATTGGTGCTAGTTATATGCATGTGTGTTTTTTTTAAATCAGTTGGGATCTGAATGCTGCATCACTTTGACAGCTTAGGACATGCAATAAATCTGAGTTTATTGCTAATTGTCTATATCCATGACAGGTTTTAGTGAGGTTTTTTGCCTGTTCAAATTGTGCTCTTGTTGTGTTATGATCCTAATTGTCTGTGGGAGCATAGTTCCTGGATTGTCAACATGTGAACCATCTACTTTTTAGGCCCCTTTGGTATTCAAAGGTTACCCAGATTTTTTTTGTTTTTGGACTGCATTTGGTTTGATTTTCATTCCATCATCACTTTCCTTAACATTTTGGAGAACATATTTTTTGTTTAATCCTATTCTTCATTCTCATCTTGAATACAGTATTTGTGGAAATTCTATTCCCTCATTAATTTGTAGGAACTAAATTCCTACCCTGAAGAATTGAAGGTGGGTTAGCAGGAAGACAGAGAATGAATAAGGTGTGAATAGAAATAGAAATTGAACCCAGTGCAGTCTTGGGGGCGCGGTTGGTCTAGGGAATTATGGTAGTCGTGATTTAGTTATTTTAGGTATTGAGGCCCCTGTATCTACCTAGTAGTTAGCACTTGTCACTTGGCAGAGGAAGATGCTTCAAGTTGCACATTGTTATCATTATCATTTTTAGGCTATGTAGCATGGGGGCTGGGAGGATTTGAATCTATACAAAATAAGGATATGTTTTAGCTCTGCTGGTTACAATTTGTATTTTAAGGAAAAATTAGGTTTCATTAGAAAGCAAAAGTCAAACTAGATTTTATTGGAAAACAAAATCAAAGATTCTGTGGCTTCTATGTTTCCATCAATTTAAGGTGAAAAGTTATTCTTCATTTACCCTTTGCACTTAAGACTGTAGAGACTGCATTCGGTAGAAAGAACATTGTCAACTCTGCGCCACTCCATATAATCATCTGCCTTAATGGCATTTATAGTGTATAGTGGCACACAATCCTCCTCCAAAGTATACTTTTTGCCTAATTTGGTTAGAGCCCATCTTATGTTTGATGAATGATTGTAGACGTACAATCACTCAGGACCTTTCTTGGCCGCACAAAATAGATTCCTGGACGAGGATGGAACAAGTGAGTATAGAGGAGAGCACATGATAAACTCCCAAAGTGAATACAGTAGCAGTACAAAGTGTGGGTTTGTCATACAGCACCTTATCTTTTGTTTGGGTTCCGAAAGTGATGGGTTTAGAATACTTCATTATCTAATTTATCTTTTGCTAACTTTTTAAATTTCTTGCAGGGTGAATAAGAAGATATTTGCTATTGTTTATTTGATATGTATAACTTGCTTTAACTGGTATGTCAATCTAATATTGGTATATTGTACGATAATAATTTAAATGTTAATTAAAATTTCTGAAGTGACCAAGAAAAAAGTAGAAAAAGACACCCATATTCATATGTAACTGGTCCATCTCATCGTCTCTGCTTGAAATACTAAAAATGTCGAACACTTTTGTTTATTCTTCTTGAGAGAAGAATATAACGATGGATGGATGGGCTTCGTGTCTGTTTCGGCTAACTCAATTTAGTCTTTTTATTTATGTACTTGTAATATTTAATTCAAACTAACACATTTTGAGGTTGGGTCTGCATATTAAGCTATTATAATTGAAGTCTATCGTAAGTTTAATCCAATTCAAAATCACATTACAAAAATAATTGTTAGAACGAAGCAAAAGAGTGTGATAGGATTGGATTATAGGTTACGATATACTACTAGTAATTAAAGTTCTTAAAAGTAAGTTTTAAGAATATTATAGTAGTAATACATAGAAGACATAATAGGTGATGTCCTTATAGTTTTAGGACACTAATGTTTACACCACATATCTTCTTTCCATTGTTGGGAAATCCATGCATTTGTTTTTAGATAATTGGAAAAAAATTATAGAATATAATATCATATCACAACTGAATGTGATAAAACTATATAATATCATATAAAATAAATATTTCTTGCTTAATTTCTCTTAGCCTATTATTTTTTGAAGTGGAAGGAAAAAGAGACTTAGAAGAATATTAATATATTGCGTGGTATTCGGCTAGCGTCAAATAATTTCCTCACGTCAAGTCAACAGTGGCTCCTAAATTTTGTTCTCTCTCAATAATAATAATAATAATAATATCTCTACGGTATTGATTGGACATTTTGCTCGACTCATTCCTACCCACCCTCGGGATATTTATTCTCTTTACCTAAAATAGATATAAGATTTTTGTTCCACCTCTATTGGTCCCTCCTTGTTAGTAACAATATTTCAAACTAAACATAATTTGTAATTACTTGTAAACTTCATAAACCAAAAGTATATATATATATATATATATATAGGATTGATTCATCATAAGATGTGAGATTTGGATGATGGGTTTTGGTCTGGATAATTCACGTGCAGTCACATGGTGGGAGTCAAAAACACACACAGACAATTAAGGAGAAAAGGAATGAGACCTCTACTAAATGAAATGGCAAGTAGAGAGCACAGAAAGTTGGACCTCCATGTCAATTATATTTACTCTCTTTCACCAAAAACAAAATTACTAAGATGCTTCTTTTCCTTCTCAAAACAACCCTTCTACAAATATTACCCTTCTTTTTTCTCACAAATATGGTAAAAAAATTTCCCTTTCACTTTCACTCTAAACTGGCTACCTCAGTAAATGAAAGGAAAACAACCCATGAAACAAACAGGCCGCTTCACTGTCATTTAGTAATTTGGACCTCTGCAGGATTCAATCAAAGGAAGAGGAGACTGAGGTTTACAAAGTGATGAGCATTATGAGATCATTTATTCCTCACAGCTCATCCATGGATCTCTATCTACCCACTTATGGAACCAAATTAATAAGCAGCTCAAAAATGCTTTCTATCTACATAAATATATGTAAACAGACCATTATAAAGGGTTAATCTTTATGACTAAGTTATTTTAACACGTATAAATTCAGTCCTTGAGGCAAAATACCCAACATTATCTGAATAGGGTGGTCCTCTTTGTCTGCTTTCTGTCTCTCTAAAACGCACTAAAACACACACACACACACACACTCACACATCAAGCACAGTATTATGTCAAATCTAAACCATCTCTTTGATCTCCCCGAACAGATTTGTTATGTGCAGTGTGGCTTCTGCACAACTATTTTGTTGGTATATGTTGTGTTTCATATACTCTCTCTCTCTCTATATATATATATATATGTTAGTATGTATTTTCCAGCAAGAATCTACAATGATTGGTCTTTTTTCTTTTTCTAGTCTTCTTTCTTGGGCTTTTTCCTTTTCAATGATTTTCAACATATGAGCGCAGGTAAGCGTACCGTGTAGCAGCTTGTCCACGGCGGTGACTGTGAGATGTGGATGCTGCACAAGCCTCCTCTCTGTCAACATGATGAAATCTTCATTTGTCCCACTTCATCTTCTTCTAGCTTCTCTTAGCCGTGATGGTGAGGTATTTTAATCTAATTTTCTGTTCACAAAATTTCATTACATAACCAACTTCAAGTATGTATATATATGCAGGACTCAAATGAATAAACAACAGCATCAATTTACCAATGACATACATACATATCTAAATATATGTATTTATATGCGTCTGTATTTTCGTCCATCTTTCCAGGGCAAAAAAGAAGCGAGTCCAAAGGACGGAGATGGGTGCAGGAGGTTGGACAGGCAAAGCCCATCCATGTTAACTTCCTCAGACTATGAAGAGGAAGATGGAATCCATATAAATCAAATAGTTAACAAACGTAAGGATGTCCATTTTCGCTTTTAGTTACAAATAATACATAGTTAAACTTGTAACATTCCAATTCTAAATGTTGTTGAAAACATATGATATGTGTATATAGCCCCAGAGAAGAGACAAAGAGCTCCATCAGCCTATAACTGCTTCATCAAGTAAGTAAATTTCTATGTTGAAAGTAATAAGAAGTAAGGCCTTGATTTAGCTTATTGGAACTTTAACATTGCTGGTATACATATTTATATACATGTACATATATATATATATATATGCGGGTATCGTGACAGGGAAGAGATAAGAAGGCTTAAGGCTCACAATCCAAACATGACTCACAAGGAAGCCTTTAGCACTGCTGCCAAAAATGTAAGTTTTCTTAACAGAACTCAAATATCAATCATGTACTCCCAATGAAGACCTAATCTAAATCTGCTTAATTTCAGTGGGCTCAGTTCCCTCCAACCCATTACAGAAAAGATGTAGAGTGCGGTGAAAATCAGGATCCCAGCGAGACGACATGGAACTCTGATGCTCTTGAGGTATATATTTCTATGTATGTGATTATAAGCATCAACATTTGGTTAATACTGTACCTAATTATGTACTTACGATCATTTAAACACATCAAGCAAATAATGGTGGATCTTGTTTGATATATATGAATTACAAAGTGGGTTGTAGTTAGATATGGTTGCTAGCGCTAGCTAGATGGATAATATTAGTTTGTTTTTGATGGGTTCCCATGAACTGCAACTATACATTATATGGTAGCTAGGTAGGCTTCACTTTGGCCATGGAAGGAAATGATGTAATTATATTTTTTGGAAAAGTCAAAACCTACTTGCTGCTAATTTATAAGATGGATGAAGAAGGACCACCAAATTCCACTTTTTCAAAGCAGCCCAGCTGCTCTGTGATCTTCCATGCTTAATTGTGTACCTTCAAGCACTCTTTATTAAATTAAACAAATATTTTATATATATACTAATGATTTGTTAATGCATACCAGTGTAATTAAGGCATGTAATATAATAAATAGTAATTAACTAAATAGTTAATTTGTTATTTTTTTTTTTTTTTTATAAAAGATAGAGAATTTGAATTAGATTATATTAATGTGTGATTTCATTTAGAAATTATATTTTATTTTGTTACAATTGATATCTATCTATCATATACTTAATTAAATATATAAATTTTTAGTGAAAACATGAGGCATGTTATGTAAGTATTCTCTATGTATATATATCTATCCCCAGTTGAGGAGATAAATGGCAAAAGTCCTCACTGATTACTCGTCCAGTCTACAAGATAGTTGAAGGATTATATACTATATATATAGCTACTGAAAGTCACGAAAGTTTATCTAATATATATATAGGTAGTATGTGAATTGGAGTAACGTATACTGAGAGGTGCATGCGTGGGTTTCTGTTGTGAAAAATTGCAGGGCAGTACTGCTGGGTTCCGCGAAAGAAAAGCTCCAAGGAACTCCATTTGGGCAAGAACACCTTTTGATCAGTGAACAAGGAAGACTTACAAATATAAACTGTCATAAGAGCTAGGACACCAGAATCTTCTCTCTCTCTCCCATTTAGGAATTAGGGTTTTAGGGTACGTAGCCTTTATGAGGGTAGATGCTCTCTTGGGAATGTGGTTTTCACTGCAAGCTGATTTCTGACTGAAAACAGACTTCAATTTTCTAGTGCGTGATGTATGATTCATAAAACATATATATATATATATATATGTTTTTACTTGTTCGCAATTTAATAGTAAATTAATCAAGTTTAAGTTTATATATATGCATGTGTATATATGTATAAATTAAAATGGGTAAGGTGTTTACTATTACGAGCAACCGGCAATTATATATACTACATAACGATTATGGATGGTTTTGTGATTGTGCTGTGAGAATATATATATATATATATATATATATATATATATGTAAGACAAGAAATTAAAATGATATATTGTGCTGTGAGAATATTATATATCCATTTCAAGAGATAAAATACTAAATTTGTTAATTGTATTTATGCTTCAGAAAGTAACTAACCAAGACAGAAAGAAAAAACTTTAATTAGTACTTGATAATCTATTACTGGGATGACCATGTACATACATACATACATGGATAACGAAATTTATCCTGTATGTAGAAATATAAGCAAGACTTACACACTCCACGTCTAGCACACAACTTTCTCCATGTACCCTTGATTTATATATATATATATATATATTATTAATAATCACTACCCGCCTATATATATATTATCAGTATTTCACACACCCAAAAAAACATGATAACCTTTATTTATACATGATAGAAACACATTTTTTTTTGGGCTAGGTTGCTACATTAAGCTTCCTTTGTAACTTACGGAAACCCCATATGGAAGACCTCACCCGCCTATATTATAGGAAGAATTTATTTTATGTTGCAGAGCATGGCTGAGGTAATTTACCAATGAATTTTGATTGGATACTTCAACTTTTTGGCAGACCCTAATTTGATTTTTTTCTTTAAAAAAATCATAAAAACATTAATATTTTAAAGGGTGAATCGGATCACCCATGCTCCAAGAGATAATTCCTCGTATCTACCTGAGCATACATATACCACTAGAGAGCCAACAGCACTTAGATATACAAACATATCACTTGAAAATCCTCATACATGGTCCCATGAATATTATGTTTCTCTTGGATCATTTCTTTCTCATATATATATATGTATATATATACATATATATATATATGTATATGGTTTCCAATGTTTCATTTCCAATATTGCTTCTTTGTTGCAAACCTTGGTGCCCTTTGAGCATGTCTACCTGAAATGGAATATGCAAACGTTATCTTCATCCTCTTTCTTGTATTTTCTTTTTTCTCTAAACTTAGAGAAATTTAAGGGGATGAAAATATTATGTAGTCTTAAATACTTACTGATGAATGGCCTGGGAGAAGTAGCATGAAAATATGCTCGGAAGAACTCCATGTTCTCTTTTTGTAGCTCCCTCCACACTGCAAGCAAGTAGCCAGTTAGCAAAATAAAAAGCTTCACTAACATTATTACTATACGTTCTACATAACTTAACACTATTGATTCATTTCAAATCTTTATCAAGAATTTCACAAAAACAAAATTTGAACTCTACTAATTACATTTACAAAGTTTGTCTATCATCTGCAATCTGCAATATGTAATTACTTATATATTTGTTTATATATGAAAAACTTATGCAGAACTAGAGATGAGGACCAGTGAGTGTGACGAGAGGCTGGATGCTGGCATGTCGAGCTAGTGCTTTTACGCATTGATCGCGGGTCATGTGTAGAATCAAGCATCTCTCTATGAGGTGCTGAACCTGATAATTGCCCATGCAAAACTAATTGATATTAGTTGGTATGTCATTTGTTTTCTTCAGTTTTCAATCTTTTGTGTATTGTGGGAGAGAAAGAGAGTTTCGAGAGAGAAAGAAAGAGAATACCATTCTAATGTAGGTATGTGGGCGGCAATGCAAACATGGAGCAAGCTGGTGGTTATTATGATGATACATATTTCTGAATTTCTAGGAACAAAAATGGACAAAACGAGAGTTGTGTAGTGTGTATTTATATTATATATATTAATAGTAGCAGAGAAAGGAATAAGAAATATGAGAAAGCAAACAAACGGAGAAAAGTGCAATAAAAGGGAATGGGAGCTAGATATTTAGCCTACAATATATATATATATACACATATAGAGTGTTATTTAACAATGAAAAGAATAGAGGAAATTAATTAGGAGATCAAATAGAGATGAAGGTTATAATTGTTATCCAGAGATATCTAAGTGAAGGGCCAAAAAGGGTGGAGAAATCCAAAGACCTCATCTTCAGGAGATAAGAGTTCTTGTGATTTGGGTTTCATTTGAGGCTTCAAATAATAAGTGATGCTGACAAGTCCTCCCATAAGCCTCCTAAGGCCACTTGAACGCTCCTACCCACCTCCCAAGTTACCCTTATTAAGGGTCCTACAATTTTTAACCTTCATGAATATTGAACACTCATCCTACTGGTCCCCCCTTTTCTATTCATCATTTAGCCACTTTAATATACAACCAGGGTTATGGACTTGATGAATGAATATGTGAATGAACGAATCATGACCCTACTGTTCCTCATGAATGAAATGAATTACGACCCTACAATTATGCATATGCATATTGTGTACAAACACATGCCACGTTTGTGTATATTGTGTGCAATATTTTCAGACTAGCCATTACTTTTAACCAGAAAAAATTATACCACATGTGACAATTCAGTGCCACCAAACAATTATTTGACGTGCATGATTCCTTCGGATACAAGCATCAGTTCATGGTTTCTTGCAGTATATTATGTAAATGTCAGTTTTGGCAAATGAAAATGGTAATTACAAGGAACAAAAAGACTTAGTTGGATATAATCAAAGTCATCTCAGCTGGGTTCAAGTTATCTTGGAGGTTTATGCAGAAGTAGTGATGGAAGCAAAGGAAATATCAACACATCATGACCCCAACAATTTTATTGCCTTCTGAGCCTACACGCCAAAAAACTGAATGATTGATCATATACATACAGACAAGCAGCATTTATTTATTTGTAAAAACAGTATGTTAATTTAGAAGAAACCAATGCATGTCGTCTCTTATGCTTTGTGGGTATTGCATGCCTAATTAGAATTGTAAATTGAAGTACTTTTTAGTAATGAGATATTTCTCGACCCAATTAAAAATTGACATGTAGCTAATTTAGTAGGATGATCGTGCTTTCCAACACATATAGGATACACAATTTAGTATTAAAGTATTTTTTTTCTTAATTATTTTGTTTAATTTGGTTTTTAAAATTTATAATCAATTTACTTATATTTTAGATTATATATATATATATATATATATAAAAGATTATTTTCTTACCTATAACTTCATTTCTTTGGAGGAAGCTCTACTTTTTAAGCATATCTCTTTTTATTATAATGTTTTCTAAAAGAGGAACCACAATGAGCCATTCAATATAAAAATATTGAAGAGGCAAACTAATCAATGAGACATGTTGATGGAGTGTTGTGTAAATGTACTAAGGGAAAACTCTTGGTTAAATTTTTTTTTTATATTAAATAAATGATATACATCACCTATAATATAATTAAAATTTTTATATAAAAATATATATATTACTAACCATTCAACCAAATATTAATCAAATTTATTATGCTGAAAAGTGGAAGCCCAGACTGCTGTCTAACTATTATTTCATTAAAGTTTCGAAGTTGAAGTCCCTTTTAATTTTTTATTTGCATTTCTTTCAACTTGCATTGAATTTAAGTTGCATCTCCAACAGGAAAGTGATAACTTCATTTTTGAATCTTGAACAGAATAAATTCAAACGAGAGAGACTCTCCAAGATGGTGAATTTAAGGGCAACTCACATAATGAAAGTAAAAGGAAATTAAAAACAAAAAAAAAAAAAACAAAACAAAAGAACAAAACACATATAAACATCATAAAATTAAATAATAGCTTGAAATTCAACCCTCTCCTTAGATACAATTGCCTGATTAATTTTGTGTTCACTAGTTCTCTAAGCTAACCAAACCAATTAACGGAGCACTTTTGTAATTTACATTTGCCAATGCTTTGCTCATAATATTTGTTGACCTCAAGGATAATAGTTCTATTGATTAGAAGATGGTGCCTTACATACATACATCTGCATACATATATGCGTTCCTATAAATTTGTCGTTTAAGTTTTAATATTAGCTAACACAAAATGTTTCATTTTCATCACGATCAGCTTGTAAAAGTTAGGTAAAATATTATTTTCAAGACTTCAAGAAAATGTGGAGGAGACTCGATAGTTCTCAGTAAAGCAAATGGTCCAGGCCCTCCCAGATCAGGACCCAAGTGTACAACCAAACAATTGAGAAATCAATCACTATTAGGTCTAGTCAAAGTCTGAAATCAATTGGTCAGTGGGAAGAACCTGGAAACCACCGGTATCAATCCCCCAGTTAAGCTTCCTAAAATACATTGTTTCTCCCGGTCGGAAACACCCAATACTTTGTGGCTAGCTGATTCGATTATATTCATAGTTCATTCATCCTCCTGTGAACCAAACTTGCCATAGTTGTCACTAGTTGTGATCAGTATGTTAATTAACAAATTTCTTCTCTTCTTTCTGTGTCTCAACAATAGCTCTCTTCAGCACAGAAATGATGGAGTACCCTGCCATCTATTTGCACCAAGTGCTCATATAAATCTAAATGATTTGATTTTGTTCCAATAGAACTAACAAAATGCTATTGGCAAATAGCAATTCAACTTAGATTTCTACTTTGCTAAAATAAAATAAAACTGCAGTTTAAATCCACCAATCTCACCAAATTGTATCAGAAGGTCACAAGCACATGTGCTTTTTCTCTATTCAAGTAGACTCTTTATTCCGGAAAGAAAAATCTGTCTACAACACAATGGTGCTTAATAGCATAACCACCACAGATTAATTGCTCTGCTTACCTGCATTTCCCCTATCGCCACTGCAACAGTAGAAATGTGGCAGCTTAACTCGACCACAGCTCCTGAGCAAGAGGAAAATATGAGAAAATATAGATGGGCACAAGTGTGTGATTCAGGCTAAAAAATTGGTAAAAATATAAACTAACATGAGTTGCTGGAAGCAAAGTATATGTCCATTATTACACAATTCTGTATTTAAAACTAACGAATTTATAGTTTATTTGCAAATCCTTATTTTGATGTTCAAACATAATATACAAAAAGAAACTCTAGATATTTGATATCTTTCTTTTTGAATGAGATATCAATTCCAGCTATGGTTTAAGTAAACCACAGAAACCTTTTAGGAATTCATTTCTTCCAAACAGCATCAGACCTTTAAGTGATTTATCAGAAAATTTTTAAGGAAAAAAACATTTCATACATGAGATCCTTGGAAGCAAATCTCTATCTGACAGTTTCTCTCACTTAAAATTCCAAGCTCTTGTAATTTAAACACTTCAATTTACAGATTACAACAGATATCATCGGCATAAGTTTCCACTATTTCACCGAAACTACCTCTTTCCCTAGAAGATCTTGTAACTTAAATCACCAAAAGCATGTAACTCCTATAATCAAAAGCACCAAAACTAAAATTATGTAAGTCCCTAATAATCTAAAGCACCAAGACTAGGTGTTCCCCTACCAGATGTTGAGGTCCCTCATAATCAGCCTAATACATTTAAAATTTTTACTCTTAGTCGGCAAACTTCAAGAATTGAACAGGGCAGGGTATGAAATGCTCTTCCTTTGTCAACTGAATTGACCCTTATGCATTTCATTTAGTAAGTTTGCTTTCATTTTACCCAATCTTCACGGCTCGTTTAGTCTCGAGAAAAAGGAATATAATTCATCAACTCATTAAGAGGAATTTCATGTTTGCAGACAAATGAGCTGATGTTACCAAAGCATCTAATCATCTAGATATCTAGAAGAAAATTACAGCTGTAGGTTCAAAAATTTAATCAAGAATTAAAAATTTCTAAAGATTCCATTGGCTGTCTAAAATGAAATGCCATGCTCATGCTCATGCTATATTTTTCCCAAAGGTAATTTTGAAGTATACGGATAGGCGTAATCACATATTATCATGAAATCAGAGATATCTTTTCCAGATGAGTTGACTGCCACTACAAAAAAAAAAAAAAGTAATCATGAAATATAATGAAACGATAAGATTCGGCAATAATTCTTACTTGCATCGAATAATGACTGGTGTAGGTTTCAAAGCTTTAGGTCCATTTCTTATGCCTCTTTTGTGAGGAGAAACCTGCATAATAGACCGACTCGTAGGTCAAACCCGATACCAAACCTGCCCTCCCGACAACCAATTCTAAAACCCCAAAACCCTAATATCACAAATAATCTGAATCCCCAAACAACTATGAAGACAGGGAGAAAAAATAAAAAATAAAAACTAAAGTTTCAAGTGACAAATTGTAATATGATTTGACTTCAAAAAATGACTCAATTTTTGTTCACCTTCTTCTTGGGAACAGCCATGAGCTCCATGGATCCACCAAAAGAAGAAATTGGAAATCCAAATCCAATAATTTTCTGATTGGTAGAACCAGAATGATCATGATCAAACTCAGGCAAAACAGTTGGTGGCGACGCCACTGAATAATCAACGAGGCAGTCCAAAGGCGTACGCATGGCGGAGACATGGGTCCATCTCCTGAGGGCGAACGGAGACACCATCTCACCCGCTGACATCGTGAGCTTTGTAAGTCTCAAAGCCATTGGTTCAGTGACGTGGCATCTAAAGATAAGTTCACCTGCAGAGACTAGGAGTTCCTGACGGCAAGCACGACTATGAGGACGAGGCAGTTGCAAAATTGATTGGTGCTTGGCGGGAGTTGGGTCACAGGTCGACGCTGAAATCAATGGCTTTCAGTGCCGCCGGCCTGTGGATGTCGTACGAGACGAGGAACAATAGCGGTGGGTGCAGTGCAGTGTAGTGCGTGTTTCGGGTCCCTTGCCGCCGACCTAACAGGGCCAGGCAGATTGATATTGGGCCATCACACTATAAAGCATTTTGAAGGGCCGGGCCGATTGATATAGGAGTTTGAATTTCTATAGTAAGAATCTGAAGTAAATCTTGTTTTTAGTTAATTATAATAAATAAAATAAAGAGGAGTTTGAATTTTATTGGTAATTTATTTTAATAAAATAGAGTAATAGTTTTAGGAATATGATAAAAATATTATTATTTCTTGAAAAAATATAACGTCAAAATTTTATTTATGTATTTATTTTTTGCTTTGTCATCTGTCCATTACATATTTTAAGCACTTGAATTCTTAATATCTTGAAAAGAGGTTAAAAAGTAATTAAAAAAAATGTTAAGTCTCCAATACAATAACCACATATAAATTATACTCTTTAAATAAAATTATACTGCCATAAAAATTAATATATATATATATATAAAAACTTAAAAACAATCTCATAGGCTTGCTAAAATTAAAATTCTAAATTTCTTATCTTATGTACAATAGAGTTCAAATGAAATCAAATACTTTATATTAAATTTGGATGAAAAGACTTGTAAAAAAATAATGTTTGCGGTATAATTTAAAAAATGTAATACATATCTTAAGATGCATGAATGTATCATTAAAACATTTATCAACTAAAAAAGAAAATTAAAAATTAATTAATTTATAATTATCCTCAAGATTATGGGAGATATTATCTTTGAGATAATTTAATATAATACGAAATATGTTCTACACAAATCTAATTTATTCCATATATTTTTTGTATAATATGCTAAACGTGAGGTAATGGGAAAGTGAAAATTCTTAAGAAAGAGAAAGAAAAAGAAAAGCGAAAACTCATGAATTTACTAAATTTTTTTTCCCATTAACTTAATTATAAGAAACAAAGCAATACATAGAACTTGCTAATTATACTTTAAAAGAATAATTGCTTTACAGCTTACATACTAATACGTCTGATAACAATAATTATTTATTTATTAAAAATACAACCTAACATAATTTGAATTTGGGAGGAAGGCCTGGCTTTATTGACATGAGAGTCCGTGTTGAATGGGTGTGTGTGGGGAAAACGGCGACGTTCATACACTAGTACCAATTTTGACAACGTGGTGTCTCTACAAATCTCGGTCAATAAAGAAAACAAGTCGTACACATAAAAAGAAGGAGAAATCTCAATGTGGCATCTCACAGATTTTAAATTAATTATATTGTATATACAGGAGGTAAGGGTAAAATTTTATTATTAAGGGGTGAAAAATTGAGTAAATAATTACCAAATGTAATTTTAAATATAATATAAAAATATGTTGGTTGGTCGGTCTTGGTTTTATGTCTGACCATAATTGCGATGTACAAGAAATTCAAAACCCCTTAATTGGCTTAAAAAAATCCGCAATTGGTAGGATCACTCAACAGGATATACTGTAGAATATGATTATTTTCGTAATTAATATAAATATAAATAAACAAGATTTAATTTAAAGAGGTTGGGGTCGTGTTATGTTTATCTAATTCCGCGAAACGTGGACAGACGCGTCGTTTTGTTCACCCGCCAAAATTACCCGCCAACAAACCAGGCCCGTAGAGCTGGGGGAGGGAGCGGGACCCATCATCTGTTGGGACCCACGAAGGTAGAGGAGTCAGCCAACCTGCATTCTCTTTTCCCGCTCCTTATTAAATTCTCGTGCTGATGGCCCTCGTACCGACCACCGCGACTTGTCTTCATGATGATTCTCCCATCGCCATTACTTCTCTCTTTTTTTTTTTTTTTTTCTAAAAATTGATTTTTATTAAATAATTTCGGAAACGTAAAATTATAAAAAGTTTAATGTTATAATTACGTATCTGCCCATCAAACTGTAACCGTCCGATTGTTGGAATTTGAATCTAGATTTTTCTTTGGGTAGAAGAGAAGACTGACATATCTGAATTTTCAAATGGTTTGGTTAAAAAGCAAAAAAAATTATGGATAGTGTGAAATCCCGTGAAGCAAAGAATGGAGACGTTGGTTGTGCCCCCACTACTCATAAATAAAAACTAATATATTTTTGTTTTTTCTTAATTCATGATTAACGTGCTATATATATATATATATATTTTCTTCTTTCCATCTAAAATGATAATTAGAAGAATTGGGGATACCCCACTACTTGCCCATTAAGTAAAGGAAGGCAAAAAAAAAAAAAAAAAAAACTCCCTGCTTAACAAAAAATTTCCCTTCTCTCTATTTCAAATAGCTTTAGATTTGAATTAAGTATAAAAAAAAAAAAAAACTGTATTTTTTATTAGTAAAAATTTAATGTTGATCCCAAATAAAGAAGATTTTTAACTTTGTTGACAAATCAAAGGAGTGAATTTTTGTTGTAAATCAGTTTAATTGCTTTGTAGATTAAACTGGAAAAAGGACAAGTAAGTTGTTTGAGTAGAAACGGTAAAAGCCCGAAAAAGGGCGGGTTAATTCATTTTGTTGGAGTTAAAATCAATAAGACTGCGGAATTTTTTGGCCGTAAAATCAAAAACTGCTGCTGTCCGCTTTTCCCTGTTTTTTGGAGTTTTGTTTTTTTTTTTTTTTTTTTTTACTGTATCCGCCCAGTAAACTTTCTTTTAAGGAAATTAAAAAAAAAAAAAAAAAAATTAGAAAAAAAACGAATGACAATTTGCGTATAGCTCTAACAAGCCCAGATGAAAGCAGTACGCCACTGCCACCGAATTTTTTTTTTTTTTTAAATATTTATTGTTTTTCGTCTTAATTATTTTTTATATCACTTATTGAATAATTCTTTTGCCCAACTCCCCACTCTCTCATCACTCCCCACCGCACCACCAATTCCCCGTTTTCATCTTATTATTCATTCTCATCATCCGTTTCCTTTCTCTTCTTGTCATCTTTTTTTCTCCTTTCCCTTTTTTTTTTTTTCCTGAGGCTGAGCCTGCGCTCTCCAGATCCTTGACGATCGGTTTGTGTTTTTGAATTTGTCTCCAGAAGCATTACGCTTTGCGGTATATATTGTCTTCCTTCTCTTTCAGATTATATTTTTCTGGGTTTTCTTTCGTGAGTATTCTTTTTGTGTTTGACGGAGGATTTCAATTGCTTTGTGTTATTGGTACGTGTTTATTGCTGTTATTTTTTAAGGTTGATTTATGTTTGCAGGATCTGCTGCAGTTATTGTTCTTCAGACTCTGAATCAAACGGTTGGAGTCTTGGAGGTAATGTTTTCTAGGATTCTTCTGTTTTATGCTTTTTTTTTTTTTTTTTTTCTCTTTGATTGATTACTGATAATATAGCCTCCCTGTTGTTGGATTTCTATGTCATTGTGCTAGGTCTTCTTGTGAATCTTTATGATATATTTTCTGATTTTGTTCGATTTATATTAGATTTTTTCCTAAGTCCAACTGGAGAGTCTTAATTTCTACTAAGTTTCTCTTACGAGTTTCACCTTCCTGATGCAACTGGCTCTCGTTTTTGGTTGGATAAACAATCTCTCTTTCCGTTTGACTAACTGGGTATTCTTGAATTGTCTCCCTTACTGCTCCTTATTTTATATCTATGTTGAATTTCATGCCACTTATAAAATTTTATCTTGTCTTGCTAGGCTCCTAACTTAGCATTTGCACCGCTGTTTGTTTTTAGATATAATATCCAATACAGATGATTTATTGAATAATCCCACTAATTCCTTGTTCCTTTCTTGTCTCTAATAATCTTTAGCTGGAACTTTTTGTTTTTGTGTTCCCTCATCACCTAGAGTTTTATTTAAATTTTCTTCATGGTGACATATCTTTTGAGTTCCTAGCAATTTATCTGGCTGGAGGTGCAATTTTAAGGATACAACTATTGACAATTATTTCTTCGAACACATGCATGTGTACTTGCATGTAACTATACAAGAAACGTTATGTGGATTCATGCATCCATGCCTAGTGTTGTCTATCCTTAGCAGTATGAATCACCTCACAAATATTCCTGCCTAAGACACATGCATAATACATGATTTTGCCTGAAGTTGATAAATGTTATTTTCTTCATCTATGATAACGGTTGTAATACTTGGTGGCTTTCTGTTGTAAAAATTGCTAACAC